CGGGGTGCCTCCTCCTCTTCGCCTCGCTCCCCCCGCCCGGGTCTCGGGGTGCTTGGATGTCTGTGTCCCACGGCCAGCCCCCCACCCCGGCCCCCTTGGTGGAGGCCGCCACCCACCCCGTACCTTCTAAGAAGAGGGGGAGCTAACGCAGGGGCGGAGGCGCCCCGGTTAGGGGCCTGGGAGTCAGACTGTGGGACCCAGGTTCGGAGCTAGTCCCCACCACCCGGCAGATTTCTGGCTTCCCCAGTCCTTCGTCCGGGGGGCGCACCCCCTGGCGGCCGCAGGGAGGACTGCGTTCCTGGAAGCCCGCAGGGTCCCCAAAGGGGCTTGTGGGACCTCAGGCTCCTCCCGGGCGGTCTCCCTGTCCCGGCGTCTCCCCAGTTTAGGAGGAAGCAATGCTTAGATGAGTAAACACAGAAGCTGCCCAGGGCCTGGTGCCTTAGTCCAGAGAAAGAATGTTGTGTCTCAGGTCTGGGTCTCTGGCCCTCTTCAGTGTCCATGAGGGAGGTAGGACTGTTGGGGCGTCTGAGTTGAGGCAGGAGTTTCCAAGTCTTTATACTGGGCAAGCTCTAGACCCTGAGCCGGTTCTGAACTGTCAGGGTGGTGCAGAGCCACCAGAAGTTGGTAAGTGGCTGTGCCAAGGGTGGCCCCCACCATAGGGGCCAGCACAGGCACCCACCACCAGCCATTACCGGCGCTGCAAGAGAAGGACAAAAGGGAGAGATCAGGGTGACTCCCCCAGTCTTCCCCCAGAGGACTGGAGGCAGTGACAAGGGGTGGTAGGAGTGGAGGGGGGAGTTCCTGGGGTGGTAGACGCCAGGAAAAGGAAAAGGGGGTCAGAGAGGAGGAGTCCCAGGAGGGCTTAGTCCACCCTCTTGCCTTAGGTAATTAATTATCTGAATATCCCCGTTTTGTTGATGAGGTCACTGATACTCAAAAAGGTCATATGCATCTCAGAACACGACCTCTAAACCTTACTGTTTCCGTGAAAAGGGTTGGGGGATGGGGCAGAGCAAAAGGGAGAACTGGGGCTTAGAGGAGGAACACTGTCCTAAGAAGCTAAGAACTATTTAGGAGGAGAATACTTAGGCCGGGAACCCAGGGGCAGAGCCTTTAGCAGAGGGAGGTTGAGTGGAGGGACAGCACCAGGGGAAGCTGGCTCGCACCTGAAGACTTCAGGGCCCCAGCCGGCCACGTAGGTGAAAATCCGTGGGCCCAGGTCCCGGGCAGGGTTGAGTGGGTATCCACAGTTGGCACCCATGGAGAGCCCGATGGCCAGGATCAAAAGGGCCACTGCCACGGGCTCCAGACCCGCAGGCACTGCCTTGTTCCGTGTGTCCAGGATGGCCAAGATCCCCACAATCAGGACCGCAGTTCCCAGAACCTTAGAGTGGACAGAAGCAAAGGATTCCGATCAGCTGGCAGATAATCCATCTGCCCTCTCCCACCCAAATAGTACAGGCACCACCTTATGTCATCTGACTGTCCTATACAGGCAGCTGGGGTGGGGGGTAGTGCAAAGACAGACATAACCCCACATCCCATCGGACCCAGAGACTTAACAATAGGCTATAGTGCCAGAGGTCAGGGACAAAGGTCACTACCAGGTCTGCCTCTCACACCTACCTGATCCAAGAAGCCATTGTTCAGGGACAGATAGGGAGCAGGGTAGGTGGCAAAGATGGAAGCTGTCTCCTTGGGGCCAGTCACTGTCAGGTTCCCACCTGTATAGTTCTGTAGGGCATCTGCAGGGGAGGGGAACACCCAGGATTTCCATCTTTCTCATTCAAAGCCATTCCAAGGCACCCCTGCCCACACACAGACACCCCAAAAGTTGTTCCCTCTGTTACCGTAGTAGAGAGCATAAGTGGCTCCAGAGGCGCAGAAAGCAGACAGTATCTGCACCAGGGAGTAAATGGGGAGCTTGGCCCAGGGCAGGCGTCCCAGGAGGCACATGGCCAGGGAGAAGGCTGGATTCAGGTGAGCCCCTTCAAGGATCAAGAAAAGAAAACCAACATCCATTAAGCGTCACTGCCAGGCACTCACCAGGTAACGTTGGCACTCGCCCCCACAACTCTGAAGACAGGTGTTACCGTTCCCAGCAGGTAAGTTAGGAAAGTGAGGCTCAAGGTTAAGCAACTTGTCCAGGTCCCACAGTGAGCCTGGGACTGTCTGCTCTTTCCCCTCCAGTGCCTGTGTCTCCAGGCTCCAGCCAGACACACCGATGCTTCTGGGGGATGGCAGGTGAGATCTTGAGCAAAGGGAACCCCAGAGGGCTTCAGGTGGGAAACACTAGCCCAGTGGTTCTCAACCTTCCTCATGCCGCGACCCTTTAATACAGTTCCTCATGTGGTGACCCCCAACCATAAAATTATTTTCGTTGCTACTTCATAACTGTAATTTTGCTACTGTTATGAATCGTCATGTAAATATCTGATCTGCAGGATGCATTTTCATTGTTACAAATTGAACATAATTAAAGAATAGTGATTAATCACAAAAACAATATGTAATTATATATGTGTTTTCCGATGGTCTTAGGCAACCCCTGTGAAAGGGTCATTCGACCCCCAAAGGGGTCGCGACCCACAGGTTGAGAACCGCTGCACTAGAGGCTAGCACTTACCCTTCATACCTTGCTATAGATCTCTAAGTGAGCGAAGAATTAATGTGAGGAAGAGGGATGGAGAGATATGGAAAGGGGAGGGGCTGGAATGGGCCAAAGGTATATGTGGGGAGCCGGCAAGGCCATGGCATACTCAGCCCAGGGCGCCTTATGTGCCATGCCAGCTCAGCCTGGTTCAGTGACCTGAGTGGGGGTGATAAAAGGATTAAGAAAAGACAGACAAGAGAATGAAAGCTGGGTCTTGGTGGGACGCTGCTCCCTGATGAGGAGACAGTGCCAGCGCCCACAAGCCGTGTCTTTATTTTATAGCAGATGCCACGAGGCAAAGTAGGGGCGTGATCAAGTTGTTTACAGCATTCTTGTGAGTTTCGGCCTCACTCAACTACATGCACCCGAACTCTATCACAAGGCATGTGGGGCCACGTGTTTGGACCATAGGTTCAAGCTTACAACCAGAGCCGTTGGCTATGATTGTGCTGGGAGGGCCCTGCCCTTCCAGCTGGGACTTGCACGTAGCAATAAGAGGACCCTGTCCTTTCATTAGTCCGTGGCTTGAACCTAACCAAAACACTGCAGCCGCGCCCCACAGGTATATCTCAGTCCGGGGCACTAATCAAGCTCAAAAAGATAATGTCCATGAGTCACTTTTCCTCGTTAACCATACATCCACACTCACATGCATATCCTACATGTCTAATAATCAGACCCCTCCCTCCTTACCGGAGACATTACCACCCACGTAGATGGCCACCATCACAGCCAAAGCGCCAGCCAGAAACATGGTGAAGAAGTTGCCTTTGGTTTCTTCACTGGTGACGGCCT